TTGACTCCAATTAAAAAACTGAATCGAACCGCACCGTTTTTCGGAATGGTTTGCAGCGCTGAAAAAACCATAGATACAAAGATTGAGCTAGAGAAAGTGATAGATAAAGAAAGAGATAAAACTGCAGAAGGAAATATGTTATATTATGCTATGTTATATTATTTTATTCTATATTATATAATGTTGTGCTATGTTATGTTATGCTATTTTATGTTATGTTTTGCTATTTGATATTTTGTCATGCTATGTTCTGTTATGTTTTGTTATGTCACCTCAATTAACCATAACGTACGTCAACTCACCTTAACGCCCCTCAACTCACCTTAACGCACCTCAACTCAACTCAACTCCCAGAAGGAAATGACTACCATGCATAAATACTAAGCTTCCTCTGAGGAAGAAACAACGTTTATTATGGCAAATCAAGTTTTACATTCCGATTACGAATTGAAAATCGTACGGAAAATGTGCATCTTACAAATTTTCAACCCTAAATTTGACTGCTTACAATTTTTTACGTATACAACACTTTAATGAGCGAAATAAGAGTCTTTCTCCTATGTATAACGTTTACTAAACAAAGCTTGCACAAATGAAAACAACACTTGTAGCTAAAGATCGGTTGCATGCGCACCATAACTGCAATTTGCCATTGCAGCGCTTATCATCAGCTATTCAAGGCAATGATAATGGTACAAATAATAGAAAAAAAATAAAAATCGGCAGTAAGCAATTTCTAGCTCGTCAGCGCTGTTGCATCACGATTTGAGCTGGGTTGTACTTCTTTGTAACATCAACATTTGGGTGTAGTGTGTAACACATGGATACGCAATTGCTTGATAGCAATGCAATTTCTCCTAATGTGGCACTATATTGGGAATTTTCGCGCTTATCCGGCTCATTTAATTACATACTATATGCACATGCACATGCGTAAGTTTGTATGCATTCGATATATGTACATATAAACATGTTACATGCCTATCGTCGTTTAAAGTACAAAACCGCGTATCGTCATTCTGCAAAACCGCGTAACTGACATTGGCGGCCAAAAATTGGATTTGCTCACACAATCTCTTGGCTCAATCCCCTTATCCATTCGTCCTGAAATATACCCGCCAGAAATAAGATTGCTTTATAAAAAAGAGAACCATTTTGAAATATGAGTGTTTTTACGCTCTAGAAAATAATTTCTACAACTTTACATACTCGGTTTTGCATTTTGTTGATACGCGGTTTTGCACTTTAAACGACGATATACATACATAAAAATGTACAAATAAAAATTGTATTTATTTGTGATTTGATTTCATTTTAAATTACTAAAATTTTAAAGGTTTCTTTAAGTCGATTCAGACCTAAGTAAATGCATTGAAGGGTTTCTATCAACTTACTAATTAAATTTATTTTAAATTTTGAAGCACATCGCAGGCCTCCTCAACATTAGTTTTGAATTAAAGTCTACCGAAAACTGTCTTGTTGGATATCCATAAAAATGGTTTTATTGAAATTAATTTTGGAAATTCATTTTTTTTTTTTTTCAAGCTGACCATTTCTACCACTGCGATATGGTGACTACCTGGTCTATTGTGGATTTCCAAGGTAAAAATCCCCGCTAATAAGGTGCACTCAGTTCAATAAGGCCGCCTTCTTTGACTGCAGGTTCGGGTTGATGTTCGCCACTGGCTTCAGTGTCAATGTGTGTTCAAGGCATTGGTTACTAGGCCACCATAGTTATTCTTACAGAATTTCGCCCTGAACTTAAAACCTTCCGTGAATTGCCTAACTAACTATCTGATGGAATTTTGAGGAGCTTTCCTTCTCGGTAAACATCGCTTGCCTTTTGCATCTACGTATTTCGGTTTCCCCATATCAGATAGCAAGTTTTGGTCAGACACTATGAGAAGAGCGGCCCATTTTTGGAACCAACTTTCAGGCATTTTAGTGTTTAAATTTCTTCAAACAATGTTCGTCTATACACATATACATACATATCTACACTTTAGTACGTCTAGCTAAAACCTTTGCAGCACAAGTGTGCATATGTGCTTAAGTGTTACAGTCAAGAGAATGAGCATGTTCTTAATTCCCATTTCTCTGTTATCACAAGCAGTATGTCTGACATTTGCCAGCATCTACAAAACAAAGTTTTCCTTTGGGACGGTATACAGCGAGATGACTATACTTACATGCATACATACATACATACATACATACATACCCTGCAAAAAATAGGACTAATCCGGGATGACTTCGGGAGCAATCGCAAAGGAGCATGCGACTAATACCACTTCTGATCTCTTTATATGGAATGAACTGATCGCTTTTGTTCGAGCATGTCCTATGAAGAGACTAATTGTTCACCTTTATACCCGAACGGGTATGAAAAGCGACTAGTCACTTTTAAAAAATAAAAATAAAAATTTGCACCAGCTGAGATTCGAACCGGGGTGCTCAGTTTTGTTAGGCGAATACTCTCTCTGTGTGCCAACGCCGCACATAAAATTTCATTGACTAAGTGCGTACATATCATTAAATCGTTAATAGTACCCGTTAGAGATGTGTTGGGGACTAATTGATCTCCAATTATACCAATAAGGGATGAGTCGAGACTAATTGACCTCCAATAGTACCCGTATGAGACTAGTTGGTACTAATTAATGCCCAATTGTACCCGATTGTGAGTAATCTCGGAATACTCGCTTTAGAGATTAGTCGCACAATTTTTTGCAGGGTATGTACATACATATGTATGTGCGTATGGAAATGCACACATCCATTCATAAGTACTATATCCGCGCATGTGGATTATCGTTTCCGCGTATCCTCAGCATACAAACAATCACATGGTATGTATTATTGTTTGTTGCTTCCATTTCTGCGCTATTCTCGAACAAGTTTCCAGACAGTGAGTCAGGCCAATATTAATTCGCAATTCTTTCAAGCGATTCGCAGTAATAGCTGAAAAATCATACCATTGGGAAATTATATGAAAAGGATTCTTGCTGTTATCTGTATGCACAAAAGGCAAAATATCTGCAATATATACAGTGGTGGCCACATTAGGTCACAAAGAAGTTGTGCTTTACAAATTTTTACCATTTATTTTTTCTTTATTTATTTTTACAATTTTTTTTTTTTTTTTTAACGGATTCGCGTTAATTTTTGAGAATTCTTTTCGCTGGCGATGTTGCCTATTTTCTCTCTTTTTCTTAAAGCCCAACACAAGTATTCGTTATAAATAGGCGTAGCCCCAAAACGGGCTCTTAGACTAAGGGAACAAAAATTGTGGAAGCAGATCAAATACTTCTCATCTCATCTTTCTCATCTTTAAGTTCCGCTGTTCGAATCCCAGCTAGCGAGAATATTCTCTTCTTCTTCGTAGGATATGCCCGAACATCCCGAAGTCATTCTAATTTTTAGCAGGGTATATATGTATGTACGTATACATATCTTTATGTATAGGTTATTCTATTGTATTTCTTTTATACTTACATATCTACTTCAATTTCTTTCTCCTTTTTATAATACTTAATTTTTACAATCACCAATTTTCCAAGAAATCGCTCATTATGGTGTGTGTTTATTATTTTGATTATTATTTCGATTGTTAAACACAAGAGTTAATGTGAATTTAATGTATCCCTGGTGGCGTGGAAAGTACACAACGCATTTACACATGTTTACATAAACGAATGTCGCCTCAATCGTTATGTCCACACATTCATTCATATTTGAAGAATTTTTTATTATTTTAACACGCGCGGTCCTGAAATGTGCTTTAAAATGAAATTGTGTAATAAAAGTATATGTTGCCCATTTGTCTGTTACTGTACATACATATGGGTCATTCCATAAAATATTTACACCTCAATATTTTTTTTTTTGGGTGAAATATATTTTTTTACATTCTTTATCGAAAAAAGAAGACACCTATTTGTTTTATTTCGTCATTATATTCGAAAATCTGAAAAAAAATTACCGAAATTTTGAACTCACGCAGAAGTATCTTTTTTAAGATTTTTTTCGAGATTTCTGAATATCATGGCGAAATAAAAAATAGGTGCCTTCTTTTTTTCCGAGAAAGAATGTAAAAATATATATTTCACCCAAAAAAAATATTGAGGTGTAAATATTGTATGGAATGACCCATATGTATATATTTTCATTTACGAATACACACATACATACGTACATATACATATGTATATGAAATAAACTATCATATGCAGCCATGCCTTCGGTTCATAACACATGAAGCGGTGAGGTAGCTTCGATGGAAATAGTCAAAAAAGATTGGACCCGCGGTATTCGAAGTAAATAAAGTTTAATACGAGTATATCTATTTATTACCTAAAAAAGGGTTACCCTCTGTTAAAATGAGCTTGCCTTCAGTGAATAAAAAACAACTGTTCTCCTTTCCTTCCTTTTGTAATAATATATAAGTAATTGAAAAATTTTAAATATGTTTACATAATTTATTAGAATTGGTAACAAAAAAAAAAATTTTAAATTTTTATTTCACAATACCTATTTTTTTACAAAAATATATACGAATTACACCGTGCGACAGCCGAAACCAGCCCGGACTTTTTTAACATTTTCTGACAGTATACCCATCCAGTAGCTAGTATTTTTATTTATGACCTACATGTCTCGGCTTAAGTAGTTTTCTAAAAAGTGGAAACAATGGTTAAAATAAATGTCTGAGCATAATTAAGGGTTAAGATATATACAGTAAATTTCACGGGAAAGATTTTTGTAGAACATTTTAATCCATTATCTCCCGCCTAAAAGGGCCGTTTTGATTCTTACTTCAAGCAACCCCGCAAAAAGCAACTTTGGAAGTTCGTTAGAGGATTGATTAGTGTGTTCTAGAAAATTATTCTTCGGAAAATTTTACTAGGGGTCTTCTCAAGCAGAAACTTCATGTGCCCAACGTAAAAGTCTCTACAAAATTAAAACAAAAAATCTATACCAAGAAGGAATCTTAAAATATTAAAAAAAAACAATTTTTTTTGTTGATTTTTTATTCTAATTTTTTAGAGGTTTACGTCGGTGGCATGAAGCTTTTGCCTGAAAGGCCCCTAGTAAAATTTTTCGAAGAATAATTTTCTAGAATATATCACTCCTCTAATGACCTTACGAATTCGCGTTTTGCGGGGTTTTTTGAAGTAAAGGTCAAAACGACCCATTTGAGCGAGAGCTAAAGGGTTAAAATTTTCTATGAAAATATTTCCCATGAAATTTTACTATATATCTACGGGCATGTCCTAAACTTTAATTTCCCTCAGATATTTATTTTAAGCTTTTTGTCCACTTTTTTGAAAACTACTAAGGCCGGGATATGAAAGCTTTAGTTGGCTGTAAAATAAAAATACGAGCTCTACTTTTGGAAATCCATGGAGCGTTTTATTACTGGCAATTTTTACTCTCAGAAAATATAAACTAAGTCCGGGCTGGTTTGAATTGTCAAAAAATTGTCTTCACACACCCAAATATATGAATAATAAGATTATTAAAAAGCTTTATAAACTTTTATAAAAATATCATATTAAAAATTTTGCATAATTTTTTTATTTTTTTATGAAAAGCACTAAAAATCCTTTCAAAATTTTTAAAATTTCCTGAAAATTAAAGTATACTTAAAATACTTAACTAAACTGTTTTCTACTTCAGTACAACAATTGTTTCTTTTTGTCGTAAGTACTTGTCCACACCCTAACTTTTTCCATCTCTGGCCAATCTATAATCCTTAGCTCATCTCCAATATTAAGGCACTTGTAAGCTGGTTCAGATGTTTTGATTGGTTCCCAAGCAAGTGTTGCCATTTCAGGTAGTTCTTTATTATTTGGATTACCAGTTGCAGCAAAATTGGTCCAAATACCAATCATACGTTGAATTGTGCGATAATCTGGACTGTCTTTTGGCAAACGATGAGCCATGGCATGCGAGAAAAGATAAGCGAGATCATCGCCATGGGATACGCCCTTAACACCACGTCCCAGTCGCCATAAACGATATGGGTATGGCAATACTTCAGAGTCGTAGTCAAAGCGATATAGGAAGGTGGACGCGGTTGGGGCGTGATTTATACGCGAAAGCAGAAAGCGATGAACAGGAAAGTGGAAAAGCCAATATGCGTTTATCTGTAAGGAAGTAAGAGAAACTTAAGCATTAAATGCGAAATATGATTTAATGAGGATTTATAATAGGCAAGAGTTGAAAATTTTAAACCTAATAAAAGTTAAAAGCTAATTAAAGTAAAATATAATAAAAAAATAAAAATAAAATAAATAGATAAAACAAAATAACATAAAATAAAATAAAATAAAAAAAGGGTAAAATAAAACAAATAAAATAAAATAAAATAAAATAAAATAAAATAAAATAAAATAAAATAAAATAAAATAAAATAAAATAAAATAAAATAAATAAAATAAAATAAAATAAAATAAAATAAAATAAAATAAA